GACATTCATTTTGGCTGCAATGACAAGAATCAATGAAGACATACATCACATTAGAATTCAATAAATTTTTTAAAATCTATATTTTTGTAATAAGCACATGATACACAAGAGATATAAAAAGTCATTTGCCATGCACAACACTTAATGAACAAAAACAAAATTGCATTTGTGTTTATGGTGTAAGGAAGTCACCCCACCCACCCAGAAAAATGAAAAGGAAAAAATTGGTGCAAGAATTGAAAAAGTCAAAAGATTAATGATATTGTATTTACAAAATCCTTTCTCAAGTTTCCCAATATTTTATTATTCCAAGTATTTTGAATTAATATTTTAATTTCTGGCTGAATTTCTAAGATGAGGAATTATCATTATTTACACTATTTACATGCAGTCTATTATCCTCATCTTTGTTGTTGTTATCCTAACCTGAATTTCCAGACATAGTAATTCCGAGTTAAATCCCTGTCTACTTGGACTCAGTGGGAATGGAGCCAGCAATAACTGAGGATTACTAAGAACTAGACAAAATATCCGTAGACATGGGCTGGGGAATGAGAACATGTATCTCCATAGATTTAATAAAGGGTTTGGTTTTGAAATTTCCTGTAGGTTACCAGGATCAACATACCTGATGAAGGGTACAGAGTATAATGGCCAAAAATCATTCAAATGGGTTTTGTTATTTAACTGATTTCTGGATTCACAAAAATTGAACACATTAAATGAACGGAAGGAAAAATTAGATTTGAAAAGATTTTAGGAATTGTTTTCTTGAAAAGACCAACAGGAAATCAGTATAAAAAAAAAGAATTTAAAAAAAAAATTATCTATGTGAAAATATAAATAAATAGTAAAAAAAAAAAAAAAAAAAAAACTGAAGTAAATTTAAACTAAAAGTTAAAAAAAATAAAAAATTATGAAAATATAAATAAATAGTAAAAAATAAACCCCAAAACTGAAGTAAATTTAAACTAGAAGTTAAAAATAAATACAGAAATTGATACAGAAAATTGAATTTAAAAAATAGATTCCAAAACTTCAAACTGATTTTTTTCCTCCAAAAATTAAAAAAATAGTAAATTACAAAATTTATAACCATTTCTATCCTAATGGAGTGTGTGTGTGCATACATACATGTATGTATGTATGTATGTATGTATAATTATTGTACTTTTAGCAGTAACCTTTCCTTTATACATGTTTTGTTGAATATGACAGACTAGGAAAATTTGATTAATTCTTTTTATTCTTATATATTTTTCTGTTTATTTACTCCTACAAAACAAAAAAAGTAAATTTTTATTACTACAAAGGTTATTTTTAATGGATGCTCACATTTGAAGCTCTAGATCAGTGTTTATTTCGTCTACTGACTTGCACGCTTGAGAAAACTTAATAAATAAAATGTACCCTTCATCAGGATTTGAAAATGCATCCCTCTTTGCAGGAGAAACCACCATCTGTTCCAGTGCACTTTCACCACTGAATGATGAAGAAATTCATGAGAGGTCACATTTTGTTTGACAAGTTCTCTTCAGTCTGCAGGCTGGTCGATGATCTAAATGGAGAATCTACTCAAATATGATTATCCAATAAAAATAATGTTTGTGTGTGTATATATATATATATATGAAGAATTATAGTCTTAAGGTGTGCTATATTTATAGGATAAAGTGGTCAGTATCAGAGATAGAGCGTGTGTAAATATAAAAGTGAACATTGAAGTCAACACTTAGAGGTGACAGGCTGTTTCATGGACTCATGGCCTGATGATTGCATCTAGCATGAAACAGGCTGTTGCCTCTAAGTGTTGACTTCAATGTTCACTTTTTATATATATATATATATATATACACACACACACACACACACTCTACATATAAAGATTGCTTTGTGCATGAAACTCTGAGTAATATCTATATTTATTAATATTAGTGTATACTTAATAGGTCTATTGTATTACATCAAGCACTGTTTTAACACCAGTACTATTTCTTATATATATATATTTAGAAAAATAGTATGACAAATTTGAAAAAAAAAAAAAAGTTTTTATGATACATTTCATCTGTGAGGATTTCATCGGACTGGGCTTTGTTGACACTGACACATCTACACAAAACTAGAGACTCTGGTAGTTTCAAAATTTTTGAAAAGAATATTTTTTACATGTAACCAAATTCATCTGTACATTTTTCTATCATCTTAGTCCCTGACTGTCCCACATTGTGACAACAGAAAATCAACCAAAAATATATCTGACCATTCTTTATAGATTTTCTGTGAGATCAAAAAAAAAAAAAAATTCTTCCAAAAATTTTGAAGCTACTAGCATCTCGTTTCATGCATACATGTAGACATGGTTACATCAACAAAGCCATCTGATGAAATCCTAATGAATGAAATGCATCACAAAACCTTTTTCCCCCAATACTGTTTTTTTATATATATATATATATATATATATATATTCCATTAGGTTAGAAAGGATTAAAATGTGTGTATATATATATATATATATATATATATATATATATATATATATATATATATATATATATCTATCCCCAAAATATATCTGTTAGTGAACATTGTTTCTTACATAATAATGTCAAAACATGTTTGTCCCACCCCTAAAAAAAAAAAAAAAAAATTACTTTGAGTTTAAACACACATTAGATCGCAATAGTAGTGCATATTGAAGATTTGACAAATTCGTTAATATAAAAGCATATTTTAAAAAAAATATTGGTGCAAACTTAGATTGAAGTTGTTAATTAAAATCATTTAAAAATTGAATATCAAATAATGAAACTCAATAGGTTTAAATTTAACAAATAACTGAAAATTTTTTTTAAACTTAAAAATGAACTGCAAAATAAATTAAAAACTATTAAATTAAATAAAAAAAAAAAATAATAATAATAATAAAAAAAAAAAAAAAAAAAAAAAAAAACCTGATGGACTATTTTTCACAAAACAACCCCAGCAGAAAATCCCCAAGGTGTGGGAATCAGCTTTTAACTGACAAGAAATTAATTACAAGTAGCCAACACAATTAAGGATGTTATCCAGTAAATCACATCTGACACTTATTTTTTGCTTTGACAGACATTTTAACAACCTTCAAAGACATGATTTAAACAAAAATAATTAAAAATGCTGTTAATAAATAAAAATATAATTAAAAAACAAATATTTTGATCATTTTTAGAAAAGAAAAGATAAATAAAAATTAAAAGTCAATAAAATATACATGTACATCCAACAAAATTTCCTTTTCCCTTTTCAAGTCTTGAACTGCCAGAAAAAAAAAAAGATCAAAAGTTTCTCAAAGACCAGAAATTATGATTGCAAAAATGTAGGAAATTTATTAAGAAGAAAAAAAGAAAAAAAAAGTGAATTTCCATTTTAACTGAAAGCACAAATCCTTTGAAGCAATGTGTTCGTGACAAAAAGTTATTTTCAACATATTGAAAGCATGAAAAATAATTCTCTGTAGTTCACAAATTTTGTAAGTCTATGGGGAAAAACCTTAAAAAAATTGACATTTTGTTGCTCAGTCAATTGTCCCTCAATTTCAAAGTTTTTATCCATTTCTCCAGAAAACCGAACACATTTATCTTTGACTGGTTGAGTGTTCAAGCTATTGACAGAATTCAGAAATTGTTGGGGGAGTAGACTGTATCTGCTTTACTGCTTGCCACTCCCACTCTATACAAACTGACAGTATATCATATGTGATAGCATACAAGACCTTTGACCCCGTTTACACTTAATCGTACATTATCATTGGGTAAGGTAAGATAAATATAACAATATTCTACAGCATCTTGGTAAACGTAAGCTTAGTAGAGATCTCAATATTGTACAGAAGATTTGAGACATTTCTTAAGCTATTTTTTAGGGAAAAAAGTGTCTTTTATATCAGCAAATATATTGAAGACATTGTTGTCATCATCGATCTTTCAGAAGAATCAACATTGCACATTTTGTTTTGATATTTGAATTCCTTCTTTGAATTTTTAAAAAACATTACTGACCAATCTATTCTTCAGCCAATTAGTACATTAATGACCACTCATTTGTTTTTTTTTTTTTACCATTTTTCTCTTTTTCCTTCCTTATAAATAATACATCTGATAATGGCTGGAAAACAGGTTGACTGAAATGTTCTTCAAAACACACAAGAAGAGGTAAAATGTCCAAAAAGTTCCCAGTACAGAAATATTATTCGTAAGTCTTTTTATAATGTATGTATTTTCCACCATTATTTTATGAAAATGAGAACTTGCTACATAGCCTAAGAACAGCACTTAAAAAGTTTTCTTACCAACAAAATTTTCATAGTTTTTTTTTTTTTTTGACAGTTCCAGATTGTCAAAGAGAATCAAAAAATCATGGTAAAAAAAAAAAAAAATAAAAATAAAAAAAATAAAATTTTGTTTTGTAGTTTTCACAACAAAAGAAAATTCTTCACAATCATTTTACTCCTGCTCCCACCCGAAAAAAAAAAAAAATTAAAACAAAATTGTAAGAAAATGTTTGTGAAGGTGTACAAAAATAAACATCACGAACCTGCTCAAAGAATGGATGGATTTATGAATGAATGCATGAATGAATGAGAGAATGAATGAATGGATGGATTTATGAATGGATGGATTTATGAATGAACACATGGAGTTAGGATAAAATTGCAATGCTTATAGTATAAACATGAATATTTGTAATACTTTCCTGATAACACAGATTACTATAACAATATCATTCAACAGTTACTTTACATTTTTTCCTTATAAAAAGGCAGTCAGTCATTAGCTTCACTCAATGCTAACAGCAGAAAATTTTTTTTTTCTTTTATAGGAGACCCGGTTCATACAAACATTTCCAGTTTTAAGTCAAGTGAAGGCTTTTGCTCAATATCAAATGAATATTTTGTTGTTGTTTGGATAGAATTTAGCTTAATAAATGAGACCAGACTGTGTTGCCCTTGCAAGTTTTCAAAATGGCATATTGTTCCATGGTGTGTTGTAACAGCCCGAAATTGGCTTGTCCATATTTCTGTGGCCGAACCAGGACCAGGCAGCATCTAGAAAATTAACAGAAAATTATATTTTTTTTTAATTTAGGAGAAAAAAAAAATTCCAAATCTTAAATAACATTGGTTGGGTTGGGTTAGTCTAAAATAATCTTTCACAGACAAACATGTATATATTAATACTATAGAATCTAACAACATTCCTACATAATCTGTTTATAACAGTCCAAAAGTAAAAAATAAAGCTTTATTTACTTCAATAGATCAAAGTGATAAAGAAGTAATAGAACTGAAGACAGCAAGCCTGTTTCTCTCTGTCTTTCTTTTGTTTTCATCTATTTCCTCTTAATTTTTACTTGCATACATTCTTTCCCATCTCTCTGCTTTTTCCCAATACAAACACAAATTTTATCAAAACTGACAAGGACTTTGTTTAATTTTTATATCGTATTTTTCCAATTTTCAAATTAGATGTTGTACATTGAAATCAAATCTGGATAAACTGTACAACAGGTTTTGTTATATTTTTGCTTTTACATTTGCCACACAAACACCACATTCTCTCATAGATTAACTTGTCACTTTTGGAAACTTGGTACAATCATCAAATCCCAAGCTAAAATATTACATTATTATTAACATAAGATGTGGAGATAATACCAAAATACTTTATAGCACTTGCTGCATGGAAAGACTTAAAATACTTAAAGTTGTTATTATTATATAAAAGAAACAACCAATTGACCTCTGTGAAAGCGTTTTACATGACATCATATATACAAGTTAAAAAAATGACAAGGGTGGAGCCAACAAAATCTTCAACCATACCACAGAAAATAAGAGATGAATTCATGCCTTTCTTAAGTGAATGCAAACTGCCTTGGTTGGGATTAGAACTTCACTCTTCTTCTATGTGATCATGGCTCTCCACAATTTCCTGCCCTTTGTATCTCTTAACAAATTTTGTCTTTTTGCTATTTCCCTAAGTCCTGTTCTGCCATCTATTTACACAAGCTTGTTATTCTATGTGGCATGTCCCTTCAGGACGTTGGCAATCATGGCTCTCCACAATTTTCTATCCTTTGCAACTCTTAATAAATCATCTTTTTGCTATCTCTTCTAAATCCAGTTCTGCCAGCAATTTATACAGGTTTGTTAGGCATGTTACGTGCTGCTTTCCTCCGTCTTTCTTGCCTTCAATATGTCCTTTGTGTGTCAAATTTTCTAAGCCCTCTTTCCTCATTACATACCCTAGACATTTTAAATGTTTCTTTCTGATTTTAAGTATAAGTGTCTTTTTTGTTTCAATTTTGTCTAAAACTTCATCATTGCTCACATGTTCTGCCCATGGTATTCTTAGCATCCTTCTGTAAAACCACATTTGTTGATTCAAGTCTCTTTTTCATCTCTGATGAGATTGTTCAGCATTTACTGTCATATTGGAGGACTGATATTACATAACAGTTCAATAACCATTGCAGCAACTCCACAGACATTTTTTTATTTTTTATTTTTGCTTTGTTTTTTTTCCATAAAGTACAGATACAAACATGAACATTGAGCTTACCTGGAGCTGAATTAGGTCCAATCATATCATGGCTGAATCCAATGGAAGACATGGGGGGAGCGGCATTTGTGGAAGCTTGTTCATCCTGAGGAAAAAACAAAAACAAAAATCAAGCATAAACATTTCAAAGATTAACCAACAGTAGTTTCTTTAATCCGACATGGATTCCAACAATTCCTTTAATAATAAAAGCAAATATAATTCAAGATGACATTTCAGATTAATGATATTTATCAAGATGTCAGCCACCTAGTGAGGACCAAACTTATTACAATAACAAAATAAGCTTGCTAATCACTACACCATGACAAGGCACCCTATTGATATTTACTAATATTAGCTTTGTCTGGTACAAGACTGCAAAAGAGCATATAATGAGGATCTGAATCACAATAATAATAATGATAACAGTATACAAGTCTCACTTGCATAAATATATTTTGGATTATTAAAACAGCTTAGTTTGATGTTTAACTGTCAAATATTTATCTACAACTACCAAAATTATTCAGTTTGTTATTAAGGAAATTCTCAATATACCACATCTATAGAAATCTTTGTGAGGGCAGCCAAAATGCATGTAAAAGGAATTTCAGCAAAGATTTTGTGATTTTTCATCTAGTAAAAATCAGTTTACATTATTTTCAGCACCATTCAATTTTGATGTTGCTGAGGCAGAGGAAAGTCTATAAATGGAACTACTAGAAATGCAGACTGACTCAACACTCAAGGGAAAGTACCTAGAAGTAGGGGTATCCGGATTTTTTTTCATACCTTCCTCAGACATTTAAGAACTTCAGAAAGTCTGCCACAAAGATTATGGCATATGTTTGCTTCAGTGAGCAGTTATTTTTGTTTATGAAGGCCACAAAAACGGCTCACAGATCCAGTTTAACTGATAAACATTTGTCATCTTTGATCAAAGTGGGATCTACACAGACATTCCAACCTGATATATCAAGAATAGTTTGTCTAAAGTGTTGTCAGTCATCAGGACAACATAAAAATGATTAAATTGTACTATCTTGTATTGTAAGTATTTTGTATTTAAAGTTTAGTTAACACTAGCTGTGAATAATGTAAGACTGTAAGCAGGTGCGACTCTCGAGGCTGCAGATATGGCCGATGTGGCCCTCTATATGCCTTGAGTTTGACATGCCTGGTATAGATAATGTGACTTGGTCACAATTGTAAAATATAAGAAAATCAAACTCACCAAAAACTTTTTGGTCATGTTGATATGACCTTGGATAGCCTTTATAGTTTTGACCACAAATTCTTTATCAATGTTAGGCAAATGTTCTGGTTTCTTCTTCATGTACTCTAAGCAATTTTCAAAAATCTTTTTTGCCTCCTTGATTGTTTGCAAACGTTGAGGGTTGATTGACCCTGTGAACTTTTCCAGCAGGTCCTTGCGTCGTTCATGGAGTTTAGTTTTTGTGGCTTGCAGTTTGTGGAATTTTATCATGTCATTGGCCTTCTGTGCAGCTTGCATATCACATGTCAAAATATTGAGAACTTCCCGCAGTGTCACAAGACGCTCAACAGCTTTTCTCGGGATTTTTCGCATCAAGATAAGAAAACAACCTTCAAACGAGAATAAATTATCTTTCTCTTCAGCCAGCAGCAGATTAAGTGGAACTCTTTGATGAGGAGTGCCAAATCCGGGGCTCTTTTCCATCCAAGCAACCGTCTTAATGGCTCGTCTTAACTCAGGGTCCGCAATTGTCCAATCTTCAGGATTCTCGGCAACATTACTAATTGGATTACCATCCTCTTCAGAATCATCTCGTGTCTCAGATGAAGATCTTGAATGAAGCAACTGTTCTTCATCTGGACGCTGGTTTAGCCAATTCTTTAAATAATCCATAGAGTTGGTATTTCCTTCAAATGAAGAGAAGTTCTGAAAGTCTTCCATTTTGAATGATGGCTTTTCTGGGGCCTGAAAATGTGTGTTGTCAGGTTCTGGCACCATCCCCTCACTGTTGCTAATGCTTGGAGCCTGTTTTAGAGCTTGAAGTTGACTTTGGATTTTTTTACGGATCTTCTTCCGCTTGGTCTTTGACATGCTATCAAATCTAGTTTCGAGTGGCACTCCAAGAGCTTTCTTCAGTATCTTGTATTCTGTACAGCCTTCCTTCACAAACATCTGAAGGTAGTTGTCAATTGTATCAAATGTATCTCGCATCTTTTTATCTTCCTCTTCCGGATGGTTAGCAGAAGCTTGGTTTGGGCCAGTTTGCTTATGTTGGTCCCCGTAGCTGTACTGACCAGCGGACATCATAGATTCCTTCTCGGATTTCTTTTCTGTCTCTGGCAAAGCTTCAACTGCAAGGTTTTCACTAGAAACCGACTTTCCAACTACATTTTGACCTTTGTTATCTCTACAGATATTTTTGACTTCTATTTTAATCTCTCTTAAGTGTGATATAGTGGTGGACCAATTATCTGAAGGGTATCTTCCTTGGTGCAATGCCTCCTCATCTCTTGGGGGGGAACCCCTTCCAAGAAAGTGACTATTATTAGGATACTCTTCCTCATGACCTGGAGAATAACTACCCCCTCTTCTTCCATGATGGTGCCGATCAGGCCAATTGTGTGAATAGCCCTTCTTGAATGGTATATAATCATCGGATTTCTCATACAAAAGGCCATCTGACTCGTCCTGTATATAATCATCAGGGTCATGTGAGGGACCATAATTATCCGGCATGTAGCAATCGGCCTTTCCATATGGATAACTGTCGGATCTTCCCCGTGGGTACCTATCATCAATGTTGTCTGGATAGCTGTTGGATTCATCTCGGAAATGTCCACCAGATTTATTGTGGGAATAAGGTGCAAATTTTCCACGAAAGAAACGGCTGCGTTTCCCATGGAATCTTTTCTGTTTGCCACGAGGAAAATTATCTGACCTGCCATTGTTGTAATTATCCATGCGATTTGGTGGATAAAATCCAGGTCTCTCAGGTGGACAATCCTCTGGACCATCAGGCTGATAATTTACTCTGCTTGTTGGATAATCTTCAGATTTATCCGCTGGGTAACAATCCATCCGACTGTGCTGATAGCTTTCTATCCGATCGCGAGGGTATCCATCTGGGGGTTCACATGGGTAGGTGTCCATTCGCTCGTAGGGATAATTTTCTGGCTTGTTTGAAACCCCTTCTTCTTTATTGCTTTGCCGCATACGTCTCTTGTAAAATCTTTCTTCATGGGAGCTGTGTCTTCGATCAGGCTGTCGACGCTTCCGGCGACAACTTTCCGATTTTCGCCTGGATGATCTGTGTTTCGGATATTCCTCATTTATGTTCTCTTCGCTGGTTTCACTTCTATCGTCAGGTAATTCTCCTTCTTCAAGTTCTGAATCGCAGTCTTTCTCTTCCTTATTTAGTTTCATTTGTTTGTCATTATCTTTAGAGATATCTTTATCTTCATTGGTATTAGCAGATGTCTTGGAGGCAAGAGCTTCATTATCTTTATCAGAGTTCTGTCTATTGTTATTACTATTCTTGCAACTATTATTATTATTATTATTATTAGCAATAGTAGTAGTACTACTAGTGGAATTACTACTACTTGCTGCTAAAGAATCCACCTCTATAGATTTTACAGGTTTCCATAATTTTTCTGACCAACCCTTCTCATCTTTTTCCAATTTTCTGGTTCTACTTGAAGAATTTCTTTCTTCAGATCCATGTCTGCTTCTAGATGGCGACTGTAATGATTGCTTCTCTGATTTTTCGCCATTGCCCCCTTTCTCCTCAGATGGTTGTGATGCCAATTCTTTTTTTATTTTCTTCACCGATTCCAATAATTTTCGAAGGTCTGACTTCCGTTTCTTTTTTGGGAACTGTTCAGCTAATTCGCGAAGCAGCTCTCTCTTGCTCTTGGCTAATTCTATATCTTTTAATGATTTTGAGTTGATGGTGGAAATCTGAACGAATTTTGGGATGCTGGATGAGTGGTCAGATTTCTTTTTCGGTCTCTTGTGTCTGCTTTTTGTTCTGTTCTTTGATTTCTTCCAGTTTTCACCTGATTCTTTTCGTTTCCTTCTGAATTCTTCGTTTGTTGCTGAATCGTTGTTATTTTCTGAAAAAGAAGTATCGACATCTTGCTGACTGGGAGTTGAATCACTTATTGTGGTTGACGCGCTTGGTTCCATGATGCTGGGATTTTGCTCGGTGTTCAATCCGCCAGAATTGGACTTGTTTTCCTCATTTGTCTTGTGCCAATTGTCATCTTCAGAATCGTCATTGCTTGAGGGGGAAGCTGCTGAGAATATAGGCAAGTCTGATTGCAACTGCTTCCCTTCTGTTTTCTTCAGAGAATCCATTTTAGGAAATCTAGAACAACTTTCTGAAGACAATGACGAATCAATGGACACTGTTCTTTTGAGTTTGTAAATGGATTCTTTTTCAGCTGTTTTTATGGAGTCTAGTGGGCCTGGTGACATGGAAGGGTCTGAAGCAGATATAGATACAATTTCAGAGGTCTTGTCAGTTGGACTGTAAGAAGATGACCTACTTTTTTCAGAGTCACCTTTATTGTTGTTATTTTCTTGGTTCGTATTTATCGACGTCAATTCGGCAAAGCTTTCCGACTTTGAAATTTTTTCTTTTTCTATATTACCTCGAGACGTCTTGGTTTCTGCACTGGAGGAACCAGTTGCCAATTTAGAAGATGTGCCTTTGGTTGGTGCTAAAGATGTTGGTGGCGAATCTGTGTCCGAAGTACTGCCAGCTTTTGATGAAGACGATAGCATGTTTAAAAAGTTTGCCACTAATTCTACATGAGGGTCTTTGCTTGTTTTCGGTGCATTATTTTCATTGTTCGTGGTCTCTCCCTTTGGGGTAATCTTATCAGCAAACCAATCGAGTAGGTTTGCTGCCTTTGAAGAATCAGTTGCGTTTGACCGATATGTAGGTAAGTCAGGATTTATATATCCAAGAGGGAATGGAATATTACCCAAGTGGCTGGGTGCCACATTAATAGGGTGGGGCCAAATCTGTTGCGTAGGGTGTGAAGTTGTTATGATTGGATTAAACGAAGGAATATTTCGCCAGACTCCGTCAAACTTTTTGGTTTAACCGAGGCCAAAATGGTTGTTGCTGTGAGGCCATCCATCCTGAGGATGAAGGAAGATAGTGTGTTGGAGATGGAATTGTCGCTGTTGGAGACAATGATCTGGATTTCTTTGGGAGGTTTTTTCCCTGAATGGTTAACACAGGTATAGCCTGGCCAGGAACAAATTCTTTACTTTTTGGAGCAGATGCCAAATCGGTTGTCTGTTTCTCAGATGTTTCATCACTTGTCGGGTGGGTCGGGCTATACATTTCAGTTAAAAGTTTGGGTTCATCACTTGTGCTTTCTTCCGTATTCAGATTTGAATTTTCCTGCTGATTCTGAGAATTTGTCATCTTGGTGTATTTTGCATCAACACTTTTCTCCTCACCTGATGTCTCAGATTGGTCGTCTGGTTTACAGGTATTATTATCAATACTCTCCGATTGCAAAAATACCTTATGCAAATCGCTGGTACTTAAAAGTTCCTCATTCAGGCTGCTGGATTTGAACAGATCTTTGTCTAAATCTTCAAGCTTGTAATCCTTATCTAAAGTACCAGGTTTGTGAAGATCTTTTTCAGATATTTTCCCACTGGTTTCCTTGGAAGTTGAGAATGAGGTGCTTGGAGACAAATCCTTCTGACCAGCAGGAATATTCTCTTTAACAACTTTCCGAAGAACATCCAAAATTTCATCAGAAATTTTTAAAGTAGAAACGGCTTTTGCCTGACTCAAAGTAGACAGACTCTTCATCCAGATGTGAGATGTGTCTTTAAGTTCTGCCTCACCTTCCATTTGGTATGCACAGAATAAAGATGAAGCGGAACTGTTCTTAGATTCTGGATCTGCTGGTGGCACCGTTTCATTAAATGGGGATAATTTCTGTTCTGTGCTTTCAGATGAGTTGTTATTTAAATTAAGCCCAAATATATTTCTACCTATGTTTTCAGTAGTTGTACATTCTGATGAAACTAATGTATTTTTAAAGCCTTCGAGTTTCTCCTTTGGATCCATCCCATGTGTGGATTTTCTGGGATCCACGATGATATCAGCTTCTGAATGTTTTTTAAAGCCATGTTCTGGGCTTTTTAAACTGAATTTATAGCTTTCAAAAGAGTCTCTTTTAGGGGTGCTACTAACACTCTCGTCTATATATAAAGGTTTTGTAAGGTCTTCTCCAATCAAATTTGAGTCACTGTCACTAAAATACAAAGCTTGAGGGGATTCACTGGCAATATCCATATCAGAACAAGTGTTATCGTCACATTTTTGTTGAATAAGTGAAGGTTTAAAATCTTTGTCAGAAACTGAGTTGGCATCTTCTGAGCCTGATCTCTTTGGGGACATTTCTCGATAAAATCCCCATGCTTGCCGATCAATACTACTTTCTGAGGATTCTGATTTTCTTGTTTCTTCTTTTTTATTATCTAGAGAGACCTTGGATGGCTTCAGGCTTTTGGATACATCTTTAGAAAACTGGGCATAAGCTGGAATATCTTCACCTTGGGTTCCAGGCTTCTGCTTACTCAAGGATTTATCAAGGAAAATTTCCTCATTTGTGGATAACGGTCTTCTTGGTGGTTTGGGCCTGTCATCAACAGTCTGAATGGCACAGAGGTTCCAAGTATCTTTCTTTATCAAAGGTTTGCTCTTTCCAATTATATCAGAGACACCATCAGTCGGATCCGATTTTAGCTTCACAGGGCTGTACACATCAGCTGATGTTTCCTGCGTGGGCGTTTTACCTATTTTGCTACCCACAACACCATCAGATTGATATTCGCCATACATTTTCAAAAGACGAGGGTCTCTGGGGAGTGAGGGGTCATTCAAAGTGGAAGGCTTTGGTAGGGATTCCTTTATAGGATGAAAGTCAGGTTGGCTTGGTGGGGGTTTTCTGCTGAGTCGAGGGTCAACTGGAGCTTGTGATTGTTCCCGGGGGTCATCCAAGGGAATTGTTATAGAGGTTGGAATTGTTTTTGGTGGTGGTGCCTTCTTGTGTGACATTGTTGATTTTGAAGGTTTGTCTTTTAGAAGTGGTTTCAGATCCTCCTTTGCCGACTTGGGAATAGTTGGTATGATCTTTGGCAAGGGAGGTTCTTTTGAAAATGGGAGAGGCAATTTTGATGGAATCCTTGGATCTCTGGGAATCTGAGGCGTCGGGGACAATGGGCTGAATAAGGAATTAGTAAATGTACCAACACCGGGAGGCATCACCAAAGAAGGCTTTATCTTTTCTAATAAGGGAGTGGTTGTTGGGGTGGTAACAAGGGATTCAGATATTGGTTTTGTGCCACAATCAGCTTCTGAAGAGATGATATCTTTGAAGGCTTCAAAAACATTGGTTTTTTCACGAGGGGGGGATTTTGGTTTTGATTTGACATGTTTCTCCATGTAAGTCTGGAATGAGATTTTTTGTTTCTTTTGTTCAACTAATTTTTTCTGTTCCCTTTCTGATGCTGTTGTTGCTATTGTAGGAGGTGCTGAAATAGATTCCATGAGGAGGTCAACTTTGAGAGATTGGTCCGTAGGAGGAAATGTGGCCGGAGATACTGTGGAGGTCTTGGGGGTGGTAGAGTCGAGACGAGAATTTTTTATTATACCTTTAGGGGGGATGGTCTTATTTGCACTGCTAATAGGAGTTTTGGATTGCTGGGTTGGTGAAGTTAAGTTTGAAGTTGTCAAAGAAGGAGTTGGCTTCTTAACGTCTTTTAAAATACTGGTAGAAGATTGAAGACTCATGTCTGGCTTAGTTGATGGTATGAAGCTCTTTTCTGGTAATTTGGGCTTTATTCTGGGGATCTCAATGGCTGGGGCTTTGGATTTAGGCGTTTTCTTTTTAACTGTGCCACTTGATACATTCTTCTTTGGCATCTTCTTGATTTTGTTAATCTCAGACCTGACAGAGGCTTTGATGGAATTAATAGAAATTGTCTCACTCGTAGACTGGGTATCCATTGTATTGATTTTGTTCACCTTTGGCTTTTGGCTATTTTTAGATGTTGCTGATGTGACCTTGACATTTGCCTTGCCCTGGGTGGCAGCTTTAGCACTACTAACAGGTGAGTGATCAGGGGGCAAATTCAGTGTCTCCAGTAATTCCTTCTGACTACCAATCCATTCCATCATGCTAGAACTGCCTTCCTGGTGTAAATGACTTGTTATCTGAAAAAAAAAATAAAATAAAAATAAATGAATAAATAAAAAAGAAAAGAAAAAAAAAATGAAGTAAGACATAATTAAAAAAAGTAGTTATTTTCCCCATTCTTGGAACAATGATACACACACACAAAAACACATGAAGGAGGGGTTGTTTTTAAGTTCTTAGCCTAACCAAGAAACCCTAAAAAAACAAATGTTTGGTCTGATTTTGAAAAGTAAATTGGTTCAAGTTATGAACATTCCAGCACCATGTGTGTGTGTGTGTGTGTGTGTGTGTGTATACACGTTTATATTTTCTCACACTCAAAATATATCTCTTGATCTTTTTATCCATCTTATCTTCAAATATTTGTAGAAAGAGGACATCTTGTAAAGTCATTAGAGTATTTCACCCTATCAGGTGATACCACAAGTGGGACATATATACAATCCATTGCTAAAGATGCTTGTAAAGTGGTCGGTTCTTTGTGCCACTCAAGAAAGTATCCAACTCCTTCTGCTATTGCTCTATCTTTATAAGAGCCAGATCAGATAAAAAAAACCAAAAAAAAAAAAAAAAAAAAAAAAAAAAAAAAAAAACCAAGAGTACTGCTGCCACGTCTGGATTGGATCTGTCATCTCACTTTCTAGCCTCGATGGAGTTCAAAAGCGTCTACATGGCCTTGTGGATGATGAATTATTTCTCCAACCTACAACCTCTTTCTCTACTTGCAAAATATCACAAGCACTCTATTGCTTTTTTCATGGCAAATGTTTTGATGAGCTACATTCATTGGTTCCAACCATCCTTATTCCCTTTGTGTTCCATAAGTAAGGAAGAAGTTTTAGAACCAATACTTTGTTTGTACAACAACCTCATTCAACCCTCTGGCTCTTTGGCTCTGTATTGGGTGGAAAGTAAGTAAAAAAGGTACCCCCCCACCAAATATGGCAGTTTTGTTTTTTTTCTGTTTTAATTACGGAGTTCATAAAACACTCAATTTCCATAGTGTCTATTATTTTCCAATTTGATGTACATGTTTATGTATTATTTTCTTACATCTGTTGACCCTTCATGTGAGCTTTTATCATACTTGAAATTAGATTAAAAACAATGCAATTTCCCCAGTCTATCATAATTGTCAATGACTAGTGGACTACATGGCATATATCTTCAAAGTGACTTGCTTGCTTGCCAAAAAAACATAAGAAAATAATTGACTTTACTTGCTTTCTTAAGATTTCTCCATGACTGCCAATTTCTTCTTCTACTTATCATTGTTGTTTGTCTTTACAGCCTGATGATTGTGAGTCGAACATTAAATTGGCAGTCACGGAGAAATCTTAAGAAAGCATGTTGTTTATTTTATATATATTTTATTATTAAATGTTACTTTTGGCGGAAATCTTATTAAAGAAAAATATATGCTCCCCTGCAGGGTACTTAAATATGGGGATCCACTAAGAATAATATTTAAGTAATAAAATCTATCAGATCAATAAATAAAAAAATTCATTACTTATTTAGAAATATATATATATATATATATATATATATATATTATAAATTAATTGATTTAAAATATGGTTATTTTCGCTACACAGTTCCAACCATGTTTCAAAAATAGAAGCTAAAAACCCCTAATTTTATTTTTGCAAATAAATTAAAAGCATTAGTTCCATTTCATCTTCAAGCGAATTTTGGAGTATATATATAAAGAAAGAACAGTAAGATATATAATCTGGTGTTCTTATTGATATTTTTATAATATTTGCTTGAAGATGAAATGGAACTAATGTTTTAATTTAATTACAAAATTAAATTTGAAGTTTTTAGCTTCCATTTTTGAAACATGGTTATTATAATAAAAAAAAAAAAAAAAAACATTTTAAACCAGTTAATTTCCTTTGTATGATAATTTTCTCTGGAATAATCTAAATTCCCTTTATATAATAGTATTGTATACAAAAGATAATAATGAAACGAATGCTTAATAAGACAAAAAAAAAAAAACTCACCTGTTGCACACAATCCTTCAGAACGACCACTGGCTGAAATTTGAGAGATAACATAGCATCTTTCCAAGTGTCATAACCAAGTTCCTTTAAAGTAGTTTTCTGGTTCAGCCTCTCTTTGCCATATGATAGCAGGTCATTGTGTGAGGAAGTTTCCATCTCAAATTCCTTAAAGTCAGATTCCCAGAAATTAGGATTGCTTTCTCCGAACCCAAATGAACTCGTCGTCGATGCGAGGCTGTTATTATCGAATTCTGCTGCCGCTTTTCTTTGCATTTTCTGCCTCTTCCGGCGACGCCGATAGCTAGTCATGTCAAAAGGAGCTTTCTTTTTGGCCTGCCGCCGAGTTGTCAGGCTACTTGTCTTTCTCCTCTTGCGTTCATTAGGCGGCAAGTACAAACTATCGGCTTCCGAAACACTGGTTGATTCAGAAAAATCTTGCTCTAGCAGTAGTTCTTTCATCAGCTTCGTATTGAGGACATCGTCAATGCTAACTTCAGTCGCTGGGGGTGGGATCTTGTCTGGTGCTGGTGGCTCTGGAGGTGGTTCTTTCTTGCGCACCCATTTATGCTGTTGACCTGGAGTCAGCTCCATTTTCTGAATGGTTTTGAGAAACGACTGGTAATTGTTTTCCCATGTAGGGGGCATTGTCTCGGGTTGATTTTTTTGGTT